GGTGAATGGATACAATTAGTTATAAGATGGTTGATTGGTGGTGGAGCCACGGGTTTCTGTGAGACACGGTCACTCTGGGTGGATTTGATGAGAACTCTGTGTGGTGCATAAAGCAGACTGATTTAGTTGTGTCTTTATAGAACTGCATCCTGCTGACTCGTGTCCTTTTAAATCGACTGATTGTTCCCATTATGGATAATTTGTCAAACTGAAATGGAGGCATCCTTATGGTTCAGCAAGCTAAGCTGCATATCTCGTCCCCGTGGCAAGTGTAGTGTCTCAAATTATGTCACATCATCTTCGCCCTCCAACCTTTCTTTGCCTCCTCTTTGCAGCACATAAGTGTTTTTATGACAGCCCTCACACATGAACCTCCCACTGTGTCCTGCAGTTATGGAGTACCAGGTGCAGATCAACAACATTAAGGCCAAGCTTCAGGAAACTCGTGCCCGCAAGAAACAGCAGGAGGAGCTCATCATGAAAGTGGAAAACCAGGCCCTCAAAGTAAGCACTGAAAACACTCACACGTTTTTTCACCCGTTCATCCAAAAACTAGGTCTGCATGTACAGAGACGTAAACAAGAACATGCAGATGAGCTTGGAGGCAAAATTCTTCATGCAGCATAAATTCTCTCAAAGGTGACGGGAAAACCTAAATAACAGCTGATTTCACACGTTGTTGGAGGACATTATTTTTTTAAATGCTTATTTTAAAACCCAGAATTTTGCCTCTCTGCTGCTAGCCTTTTTCTCTGTAAGTTTTTCCATGCACAAAAAAGGAGCTGAAAGTTCATTCTTATGCCCGGCACTCTTTAGTGGAGAATTTACAATGAGTGAAACATGAGCGGACACGACCCTTCCTACGTTGCCATTTAACGCTCTCATTGCTCAGTGTTTTGGGACCGTCGGAGCCCCATCTCCAGTCGTTATTATCACAGTCACATGGAAAAGGTCAGCTGTCTCTGACTGGCATTCCAAGTGGCCTTTCTGTCAGAGAGGAGATACTGACACGAGCAGCCCAGGCCGACACACATTTAAAGCCATCACAATTTAATGAGGCTCAGCATGTCGACTCAAACAAACCTTGTTTGCCTCTCTGCTCTTACAGAACCGTTTCCAAGCCTTGTTGGATGAGATTATTCAGCAGGAGGAGCGGGAGATGGAGCAGGTAAGCACCTTTTTGTAAAAGCCAAGGATCAGTGCTCACTGTGAGCTTTCTACAGCCTTCAGCACTTTGCATGAATTTATCTTGAATGAATGTCAAATATCATGTCGGCAGATGGTGTTGTGTTTGCTATCCTTTTTAAACCCAACATTTTTCATGCCTAATAGCAAAGTTGAAAACCAATCAAGCGCAATTTAATTTGACAGCAGCTACCAGGGGAGTCCTTTTTGTAGCTGTGGCATAGTGGCCACCCACTGTCCAGGGTCGTTGTTTGTATTGACAAATGACTGCAGCAAATTAATGTGAAAAGACATGTTAATCATCATCCACTTACCCTCCAATTACACCACGGTGCTGTTGGGCATCAATCACGCCCTCTATTTTCTGCTCCAACAGCTGGCCTCCCTGCAGGAGCAGCTGGACTCACTGATAGAGAAGTGACCACCAGGGGGCAGTCACATGTCATCTTCTGGCATACAGGAAAGACAAGGAGGAGAAAAGCCTTCATCCAGGGAGAAGAGAATTTTTATTGGAAGTTGCTGTGTCATTCCTTTAAATTTGTGATTTTCCTATTACACAGCACACAGATTGGTTCACTCAAAGTTTGTGTTTTTAAGTTGACAAAATGCGTTTGTAGTTACTGTGTGATTAAACTGTTCCACCTCAGTGGTTAATGTTGTCTGGGTGTTTATTGTCTTAAAGACAAATTGTTTACTGCAGGTCAACATTTATTTTATTACCCGTCAGAAAAATAAGTTACAAAATGTATTTATTTTTGTTTATATATTCCTACATCATTGGTACTAATGACCAGCATGGTCATGGTGGATTTTGGTTCAAACACACCTGATTGTGGCAGCTTAGAGCTGTTTGCAGCTCTACTGCAAACAGCTCTACTGCAAACAGCTCTTACTGCTTAACTGTTATGTAATATACTCTCCACTGAGGGATTTGGGTTTAAGTCATGCCAGGATAGTTTACGTATACCTTTAATGTCACTGGAATTGGTTTTCTTCTTTCAAATTTGTTTGTGTTTATATTTTCATGGACATAGATATAGAAGTAGCAAAGACTTTGACTGCTAAATTTGAGCTTTTTTGTTGTAAAGTACCTTTAACACTAGAATTACTGACCCTTTTTTTTTCCTGGTGCAAGTCCCTACTACTAGATTTACTGACCCTGCGCAAATTTGCGTAAATTCCCCTGAACCTAACACCTCCTAGCACCCCGCTGAGAGGCCTTCAGCTCCATTGTTCTCCTGCTTTTGTTGTGCAAACATAACCTCCGCCAACCAGGATAGAACCATGAGAAGGTCTTTCCTTCCAATCGTTGTCAGACTCAACAACAAAGTACCTGCAGCCTACAATACACCATATTAGTAGTAGCTTTTATGTGCAGTATTATGCAATATTAGTTCTTGTCCATCCTTGTCACTACATTGCATGCCTGTCCATAAACATATATACACAGAGTATATGTACATATATTTATATATCCAGACCTTACATAATATATATAAAGTCTAGTTTAAGATATCTGGGCCTTTTCATGTGATATAGGCTAACAAGGATTTGAATGTTCCCCTTGAACTTTCACACATTTTGTCACATTACAGCCACAAACATGAATCAATTTTATTGGAATTCCACGTGAAAGACCAACACAAAGTGGTGCACACGTGAGAAGTGGAATGAAAATCATACATGATTCCAAACATTTTTTACAAATAAATAACTGAAAAGTGGGGTGTGCGTAATTATTCACAAATCACAAGATCACAAATCTTCCACTGCAGCACGTTGACAAAAGTTGTTGTTGGAGCTGGAAGTGAAGGGAGGGTGAACACAAATATCTTCCTTTCACATATATATTATGTGTCTGACAACTCTTTTTTTTTTAAACAAAGCTGCCTGTCAGCACACCAGACTGGCCTAACTTTAACCCGTAGCAAAATCCAATACAGGTGCAGGTTTAATACAGGCTATCTGGGACTGTGTCTAACAGAATAGTTCAAGTCTCCAAATGGATGTTTTTAGGTGTTGTGTGCACCATAAGAAATCGAGGTAAAGGCTGCATGGCCATCTCAAGGCATATTGATGTTTTTATGATAACAATTTGTAATATTATTAGGAGGCTCAACGTCTGCGGGACCATTGCTAACCTCATGAGAAACGACCACAACAGACAAAAATCAACTGAAAGATTTAACATGTTAACAAAAAGGAAGAAGAACCAAATAAAGTCAAAGGTGAAACACACATAAAAAGCCGGCGAGATCAAAGCAGGTGTATGGGGAGAGACGATGACCCCGCTTTTAAAAGAGAAAACAGAAAAGCTCATGTTGACAAGCCAGTATTTCTGAGAGTCCTTTTACAGATGAAACATGATTAAGAGCTTTTTGGTAGGTTACATCAGCTCTGGGTTCACAGAGGAAAACAGAATCTGAAATGAAGTTTCATGAAAAGGACACAATCTTTACTATGAAAAATGAATTGCCTCCTTTTTAGTAAAAGACATGCTACAGGCTTGTGCACAAATCACATCGAACATTGTACGGCACAGTGCATCAAGTATCAAGGTGGAACACTATTGTCAAAGCTCTGTCTCACTTGCAGGTCGTGGCTCCTCCAATCGTATAAAAGACCCAAAGTATACATTTAAAAGCTCTCCACACGGGTTGAGAAGGTGACCTTTATGTGGTGCCCTGCTATCAATCCCAGTTTTATCCCACTGAACATCTGTTGAAAGAGCTGAACCTCTTCACCGGGAGAAGGTACCAATCAAGCGTGAGACAGGTTTGCTCAAGTAAGAGGGTGAAACTACCGGTTATGAGCAACAATAGGGGCTTGGTTTTCATCTGACTCAAGAGTGTACTACAGAATGTTATTTTAAGTGTCCTTGAAATAGATGTCCTATATATGTGCATGAATAGTCTATCTCAGCTACCAGCAGTGTTGGGAAGGTTACTTTTAAAATGTATTCCATTACAGATTACAGAATACATGCCCCAAAATGTATTCTGTAACGTATTCCGTTACGTTACTCAAT